TAGGGAGGAATGGTCAAAGCTGCATCTCAGAAGAAAATTCCCTTTTCTGAATCTGGAAGCTGAGCAATCCCTTGTCCCTGGGGAACAGGGAAGTAGTAGGTCCCAGGAGTCTGTCCCTGATGTGACCAGGGTCCACTATGTGGTAGGAGATACTGAGGACATTGCTAATCCAGGTAGGGTAGGCTTATTCTGACCTGCTGCCCATTGGCCTTGTTGGCATTGCTGGAACACTCCCTAACGTCCCTCTGCTGAATAATTTTCCTCATTGATTAAGAGAAAGTTCTCCCTCTGGCCAGGTAATCTAAGTTGTGGGAATTGATACAAATGGGATGGAGTAACTTTGGTATCTTAATTTTTGGGTTCTTACCAGGAAGAGCCTACAACCTTTCACCAGGGCAAGAAGTTTCTGCAAAACACATGCCGGCTTGTTCAAGAAGATCCTGTTGGGTCTGCTGTGTTTGGGTGAGGTACTAAAAATCCCTGGAAGTGAGAGACACATCATTTTAGGAATATGATGCTGTGTCAAGACGACTTCTAGACAGAAAGCAGATTTATCCACAAACTGATCTAAAGGGTTATATGCTATATAGGTCTTCATTACTGGTAGGTGAACTGTAATTTATTGAATTGCACTTCTAGGAATAAGTAAAATCTGAGAATAAAGTATTTTTCAAAACTGTACTGTTTGATAGTATTTCAGGGAATTGGGGCTTGTCTCTATTTTAGTGTCTTGATTTGCAGGGCATGGCTCTTGTAGTCTTTACAGGAGAAGCTTGTGGTATACATTCCTTATTTGCTGGCTTACTAGTAAGATTAAAGATATAAAATATTTTAAAAAATCAGAAACCTCTATTTAAAATACACTGTCAGTGATATATAGAACTTTGACGTCAATATTAGAGGTGGCTGGGATGATGACAACACAATTATATTTTGGGGGGAGTCAAAGAGCCATGGGATGAGGACCATATGACTGTACCATGAGTCCTCACTTAACGTCCTCGATAGGCCCTGAAACTTTAAACGAAACAACATATAATGAAACCAATTTTATGATAGGCTCATTAATGTAAATGAGTTACGTTCCTAGGCATCTCATCAATTAATGATACGACCAATATTGAATGAAATGATGGTATTTGAGGACCTGTAGTATTTCCTAGTAGTAGCCTTGTTTATGGGATTTTGCTCAAGAGGAAAGGCTAAAATGACTGGGGTTATAAAGTTTTAAGAAAAAGATGACTTTTGAAGAGTCTAATGGTGGGTCTGATCAAATCTACTCCCAGGGACAGAAAAGGATATCGGATAAAATAGAAGATATTTCATTCAAGACAAGTGAAAAAATGCCATATTCAAACTATTCCTTGGGAATCTTCAAGAAGAAAACAGTTAGCCATCTAACTTGGCCTTGAGAACTGCAGCTCAGTCTGACAACTGGGGCTGGTTGGCAAGGTCGCTGGAGGGTTTTTCTTGCTTTCGGGCCCAGACAGTCATGACTAGAGTTTCATTCACCACTGGGGAACTCTGACTTGATCCTTACTCTACACCTTCTCCTTTCAGCTTATACTGCCTACTTCTTGGCAGCTTGCATCTTGGATTTCCAGAGAGCACTGGCCTTATTTGTCCTCACCTGTTTGGTGCTCTTGGTTCTGGTTCATCGCCTTCTGAAAGGTTTCATTGGTAAAACATTAACAAGATGTCTGAAGCCCTTTAAAAACTCCCGCCTAAATGTTTGGATGAAATGGTGAGTAAGACAAGGATCTCAATATACCTGGTCCCCAAACTTGTCCCAAACCCCAGTCTGCTTCCCTCTTTCTCCTGTGGCTTTCAAAACCAAGGCTCAGAGAGCAAATGGCAACAGGCCTCTGAGCACTGGACTTCTGTCCAGTTTCTTGTAGCCTCGTGTCTCAACATTGCTAGGGGTGGGAGGGGTTAAGTTTCAGAGAAGAGTTTCAGTCTATTTCATTAAGCTATCAAATTGATTTGGTGGTCATATTTGTCTCCCTTAGTTCCGTGATTCTTTTTATGCTTTCCCCCCTCTAGTCCTCCAGGCTTCCTGCGCCCACTGGTGTCTTTTACAATTCCTAAGAATTTAATGAGCAAACTTACGGTACAGTGTATTCAAAGCTGGATTCAACAGTAGCCACAGCTCATTTAACTGACTATGGTATCCATGTGTCCTATGCTCACAGGCGCGGGGTGACAGAATAACTTCCAGATTCTCTATAAAGTTCCTCTTTTTTGCTTTTTTTCCAATAGAGGTGCAGAAAATAGGTGTTAAGAATATCTGCAGCAGCAATAATTTGTAGAAACAGGCCAAACTGCAACCTAAATTTTGGATCACTGATGTATTTGACACTGAGGAGACAAAGCTAAAAGGACTCTAATTGTTAGCAGGGTAGATTCTGGAAGCCCCTTTTCATTGACTTTAAGTGAGATGAGTTCACAGTGAGAATAGCTCCACAATTCAATCCTGACGTGTAATGCTTTTTATTGTCACTATTGTTCCTGATCTCAATGGACAACGTGCTCTTCTTTTTGTTCTGATATGTGAGCTCCCTTCCAACTCTTTTCCCTTGAATTGAATTGACTCCAACACTCAGACATGAGGAAGCCAGTCTGTGTGTTGATAAAGCACGTTTGGTACATCAAGGGACCATAGACCATAAGTAGTTGATGTGTGGCTTAGCTTTTACTCTTGCCCTTGGAGTTGCTGGATATTGGGTGGAGATCCATGGGGGACCATGCAGACTTTTCCTCCTTTTTAAAAAATACTTTGGTTATTCACTAGAACAGTCTTAAAGAATGAGTCTTTATACCATATCTTACTGATGTGGAAACTTGAAGAAAAGAAGTCATGTGATTTGTGTTCTCAGGTTGGACTCTTTCAACTTCATTCTGTGAGTAAAAGAGTTGTGAGTAAAAGAGTTGGGAGAGGTGGTAGCTAGGAAGCTACCATGTGAATGATTCTCAAGATATGTCTCTGTGTCTAATCTACTGAGTTATTTCACTTTTGATCTGGATGAACTTCTGTTTTTTAGAGGTAAGGTTAGTTATTTGTTATTCATTGACTGAGCTGATGACATGATCTTGGCATTCCTTCCTCAGGGTGTTCGCAGGAGTCATCTTGATTGGCCTTATCGTGTGGCTGGCTCTAGACACAGCCCAAAGGCCTGAGCAGCTGATCCCTTTTGCAGGAATCTGCATGTTCATTCTCATCCTCTTCACCTGCTCCAAACACCACAGTGCAGTGAGTTTGGGGTATGCGTGGTGGGCTGAGGGCCACGTGTTACTAATTACAAAGTGCACGTGTCACGTATTGATTACAAAGGCATAGACGTAAGCTCTTAACAATCTCTGGAATTTGCCTCTGACAATTTTGCTCCTCAGTGAAGTTCTAAAGCTCTCAGAGGCCCTAGACAACTTATTTTTAAACTGTAGATTGTGATCTATTAGTGAGCCTTCATATCAATTTTGTGGCTCTAGGCCAGTGTTAAAGAAAGAACAAAAGAAAACAAATGGAGAGAAAGAACATACAATATGAGAGTCAGCTTGCATTGTAAACAGTATTAAAGTTTTGGTTTATGATGCTTTTATTCATATGTATGTATGTGTGTCATCTAACCTGTAGACACAGTTTTAAAACTATATGGGCATTGTGGCTCTTTACATGTTACTGCCCTGTTTCCCCCTGTTCCTTAATCCATTTTACCCTAGATTTATTGTTAATATCCTAGGTTGGTTCTACACAGAGTACATGTACCCATGTTCAAAACTCCAACCAGGTAATGGGCAAGTAGGGTTTGGAATTCACATTGGAATATGTTCTTACTGGTCTCAGGTGTCCTGGAGGGCAGTGTTTTGGGGTCTGTGTCTTCAGTTTGTCTTTGGGATTTTGGTCATCAGAACTGATCCTGGATTTAATGCATTTCGATGGCTGGGAGAACAGGTTCAGGTATGAGAAACTGAATGTGAGGGCTCTGTTTTTTTAGAACCCTAGAGAAAGGAGATATGGGGAAAGCATGTGGAGATTGATCTGTGTCTTATTAATGACGGTGGTAGAAGGTCTGGTGGGAAGGGGAGAGTATACTGGGGTACAACTAATCACATGAATAAAGAGAACTGAACTGCTGGGTCCTCTGTCATTCAATGAGCAGCTCATGGGGACATAGCCTGCCCCCATGCTCTCACAGGGAGCCCAGCCTCAGTAGCAGCAGTAGGACCTACCCATGCATGAGGCTGACCCCACCTTCCTCTGTGTCCTCCCTGGCTTCACTCTTATTCACTCTCTCTCTCTTTTCTTTCAGACTTTCCTGAACTACACTGTGGCTGGCTCCAGTTTTGTCTTTGGGGATGTGCTGGTCAAGGACGTCTTTGCTTTTCAGGTCCTATCTGTTTTGTAGGCAGGAATGAGGGTCAGCGTGGGAGGAGGTGTGAAGCAGAGGATGAAAACGTGTGTCCAAGTGATCAGCCAGTCTATATACCAATTTGATCCTAAGAAGAGGATTTGATCCCATTAGCAGAGGAAAGAGTGTTAATCTCTTGCCTTTTGATCAGTATCATACTGAAATTGGAATAAAATAGGAGTGGGAGAGGGAGGCTCAGAAAACATCTCTTTGTGGCTTTGTACTGATGGGATAATAGATTTGTGATACATTTAAAATTTATTCCTAAACTGGCTTGTGTTTACATAGCCACTGAGTATCTACACTGTATCAGCTGCTCTTGGAAGCCTTCACGCTTAATTTAGAGGCCTGAAACACAGTCCATTTATGGCATGCACGAACACATGTAATGAACAGTCGTCCCCTCTTACCCATGGGGAATACGTTCCAAGACCCCTAGTGGATGCCTGAAACCACAGATAGTACTGAACCCTGTATATACTATGCTTTTTCCTATACATACATATCTGTGATAAAGTTTAATTTATAAATTAGGCAATTTCACAGATAGAAGATTTGTTCTTACTGTAGATCTAACCAACCTCAGCATATGATTTTTTTTTTCTTATTGAGAACTCTTACCTTTTCATTTCAAGGAAGCGCACTTTATGGCTTCTCTTTGGCATACCCAAATTGCCAGCATCGCTCCTCTTGTGCTTTGGGGACATTAAATAAAATAAGTTACTTGAACACAAGCACTAAGATACTGCGACAGTCGATATGATTTGATAACCTGGACAGTTACTAAGTGACGAATGAGCGGGCAGGTAGTGTACCCAGCATGTACACACTGGACTAAAGGATGAGTCACGTCCCAGGCAGGACAGAGCAGGACAGCAGGAGGTTCCATCACACTACCCAGAACGGCACACAATTTAAAATGTATGAATTACTTCTAGAATGGTCCACTTAATATTTTTGGACCGTGGTTGGCCGTGGGTAAATGAAACCGCAGAAAGTGAAAGCATGGATAAGGTGGGGATGACTGGAATAGCTCCCTGGTTGCCTGTCATTCTCATTACAGGCCTTACCGGTCATCATTTTCTTTGGCTGTGTGATGTCTATTCTCTACTACCTGGGCCTTGTGCAATGGGTCGTGCAGAAGGTGAGCCCTTCTTCATCAGTCAGAAGGCGGGCTTTCATCTTGTGACCTGTCAAGAAGCATGAAAATGACACTTACTTTGGAAAAATGCTCATAATGTAGAATTTAGAGTGTTAGAACCAATGTAAAAAGGCAAACTCTTCCAAGCATGCCTGATATCAGGTGGTTAGGCCCAGGCTTTCGGTGGGCTGAGGGGCAGAGCAGGAAGAGAAAACGGGCTGGACTGCCATTTCATACTGAGTTAATCTACTAGCTCTGGAATCCAAGAGTCCCGAGTTCTGATCCAGGTTTTGTTTGTAACTTGCTTTGTGACCTTTGGGTTTGTCACTATACTTCTCTAGGCTTTTGTTTCCTTACCAGTAAAATGGAGGAGTGGGTTTTGCTGGATACACTCCAAGATTCTTGCTAATGTTAATGGTTCAGGGCTTTATATCCCTTTAGATCGCCTGGTTTTTGCAACTCACCCTGGGCACCACAGCCACAGAGACCCTAGCTGTGGCAGGAAACATCTTTGTGGGTATGGTAAGTACCCTCAGGCCTCCTGATCTTCTTTTTTTCTGGAGAACAAAGAGTATGGCAGAAAACAGGTTGAGCAAAGTATGTTTTTCTTCTGAAAAGTCAAATAAACAAAGACGGTATGGGCAGGCAATCGCTGATGAAAGAAAACTCAGAAGCTCAAAGGAAACTCAGCTCATTGGTTTTCCCCTTCATGTGTAATAACACTTACCTGGGCATACTTACTGGGGACACCCTTAGCCATCAAACCCAACTTCTTACACAGGAATCTAGGGAAACATCCTGCTCTACATCTCATCCCCCTTCAGGGGCTATGAAGAATGTTTGTGCTATGTTCTGGTTTCTCCCTTGTGAGCCTTGTTTTCCAGGGTCTCTAAGGCGGCAACAGCTTGCCTTGTTCAGTGCTCCCACGAAGGCTCTTCCCCATAATACTGGTTTGATACACTTTTATAGAGTAGGCGCTCAATGCGGGCTATTGGCTGACTAGCTCGATGTTAGGGACAATGGCTTATCAAATTGACAAGGAGTGAGTGTTGAGGTCTCTCTCTCTCCCAGGGTCCTAGGCTGATTAACTGTTTCTGAGATGTTCCCAGAGTACTTTTTCACACTTCTACCACAGCACTCCACAGCTTGCTGAAATTATCCACAATCACCTTAGTTTCTTCTGCTAGACTATAAGCTCCTAAGAGTAGGAACGTTGCCTTGTTCATATTAATATCCCTAGCATCTAGTACAGCACTAGGCACATCATTATCACTCATTAAATGATAAATAACATTATCTTAGGTCGATGCCGGATAGAGTTTAGACACGTATGATTTTAGACATTGAGCACAAAAGAGGTATACCATTTCCCTTCTATTCATTATAAAATTTAAATAGATGAAACAAACATGTATGAGAACAATGCTAGCCAGGATATGATTAGGTGCCAGAGACAGAGTGGGGCAGATGCTAGGAGGGCCTAAGAACAGATCTTGATGCTGGAAGGGCCCCCACACTAGAGGGATGTGTCCCTGGGGCTGCAGTGGGCACTCTGGGGTGGGGAGTCGCATCCTCTTGAATCTGACTCACTTCTTGTTTATAGACAGAGGCACCTCTGCTCATCCGTCCGTACCTTGCAGACATGACGCTCTCTGAAATACATGCAGTGATGACTGGAGGGTTTGCCACCATTTCAGGCACTGTGATGGGAGCCTTCATATCTTTTGGGGTAGGCATAGTCTGTTTGATTACTCCTGGGTAAGCCCACGTCTGGATTCTGCAGACACTGATTCCTAACTCGGGCTTTACAGATTGACCCGTCATCCTTGATTTCTGCCTCCGTGATGGCTGCCCCTTCTGCTCTTGCCTTGTCAAAGCTGGTCTATCCAGAGGTGGAGGAATCCAAGTTCAAGAATAAGGAGGGGGTAAAATTGCCCCGTGGGTGAGTCCAATGAGGTATATAATTTGGGAGACGGTGAGGTCAGATGTAGAGGGTGATGCTTGTGGAATAAAAATAAGAGTGGTGCCTGTGGTGGCAGAGGTTCCAAGTCTCCTGGAGAAGGAATAATATGATTCTATATCCCCTCTTGTCTACTTCCTCTGCTTCTAGCTAATCATGTTGATTTTCTTCAATTGTTTAACCCTCCCACCTGCCTCTAGCTTCTGCATGCCTGTACACTCTGTCCTTGACGTCACTGCAATTATATGGGAATTAAATCTGATATTGCTTCAGTGTAATTTCCACCAAAAGTCTCTAAGGAACCCCCACCACCTCTCAAGCTGGTCTTGCACCCTCTTCCTGTATGCCTGCACCACAGGTAAAGTGGGATTTCTCTTTTCTGAGGGGCTGAGAGTAGTCCATATTCTTCTCCTCTGCCCAATAACTACAGGAAGGAGAAGAATGTTCTCGAAGCTGCCAGCAATGGCGCCACAGATGCAGTAGGCCTTGCTGCTAATGTAGTAGCCAACCTGATTGGCTTTCTGGCTGTGTTAGCCTTCATCAATGCTGCCCTCTCCTGGCTAGGAGAGATTGTAGACATACAAGGGCTCACTTTCCAGGTAAAAAAATTATATTGGTTGGGCTGTCCCTCTAGGGCAGCCGTTCTCAACTTGTGGGTCACGACCCCTTTGGGGGTCGAACGATCCTTTCACAGGGGTCACCTAAGACCATGGGAAAACAAAAATATATTTACATTACGATTCATAACAGTATCAAAATTACAGTTATAGAGTAGCAACGAAAATAATTTTATGGTTGGGGGTCACCACAACATGAGGAACTGTATTAAGGGGTCGCGGCATTAGGAAGGTTGAGAAACGCTGCTCTAGGGTGTGTTTAAGTTGTCCTTGCACTGTGCAAGCCTGCTGGACCCACAGTGAGCTAAAAGGAGCCTGGATAGAAGGGTAGAGGAGACTGAGTTAAACTCCAGGGAAAGTCCTTCAGTCCTGATCTGTGTTATTTGTTCTTTGTTTTCCTGGGATATCTGTTTCTTTTCACCTAGTTGATCTGCTCCTATGTCCTAAGGCCCATGGTTTTCATGATGGGCGTAGACTGGGCAGATTGTCCAATGGTGGCTGAGATGGTGGGGATCAAGTTCTTCATAAATGAGTTTGTGGCCTATCAGCAACTGTCTCAATACAAGGACAAACGTCTCTCTGGAATGGAAGAGTGGATCGGGGGCAAGAAACAGTGGATTTCTGTAAGTGACAATCCAGAAAAGCATAAATTGTCTGCGGGCAGACAGAAAGTGTTACACTAAAGATTGTTTCACACCCATGGATCCCTTAACGGTGTCCCAGGCCTAACCATGAAGAAAGCACAACAGGACACTTCTTAGCTCCAGTGCCAGAGCTACCCTGGGGTCTGTATGCTATTCTCCCCCGACATTCTGACCCAACTTCTCTCTATGAGGTAATTGTTGAGTCTTTACAGTTGGGCCAGTCTAGGGTGGACACTATTTTTGATGGTCTAAGGTTCCCTTCTTCATTTATAAGTTTAAATTGCTATAAATTGACCTTTTCTCTCTCTCTCTCTCTGCCCTCTCAATTATCTTCATTCCTAGGCCTTCTCCTTATTCATGGGCTTCAATAAGAAGAGTGTTGGGCAAAAAGGCCCATTGCAGTTTCCATATCATTATTCCTATAATAACTTAGGAAGTGATTATTTTCAGAGCATCTGTTCCATATTCCTTAGTGTGGACAAGATTGGGGTTTTAAGATCTATGGAGCTTCTGTCATGATTACATGACTGCACACCTGGGACTGAGTTTACTTATTTATTTTTGTTTTCCCTAGGTAAGAGCTGAAACCATTACAACATTTTCACTTTGTGGATTTGCCAATCTTAGTTCCATAGGAATCACACTGGGAGGCTTGAGTGAGTTAATTCATTTTCCCAATTACTCAATCAGCTAGCCAGATCCCAGCTTCTGTAGTAGGTAGTCCTGGTGCTTCAGTACAAGTTGAGACCATTAGAGAAGCTGATGTGAAATGGGGCCTCTCAGGAGGTAGTTAATTTGGAATTAAGGCAACCATGCCACCTGGCTATGCATGGGGGCCCAGGCTGGGTTTACAACCTCAGCTTCTCTTACTTTGTTTCCTTTCGATTAGAGGCCCCAAAGACCAATTTTACTTTTATTTTCCCTTTGAGGAAGATTACAATATTATTGTGCCATTAAATGGGCATAGTACCTATATAAGTAAAGATTAAAAAAAAATTCAGTAGCAAAGGTACTTTCTGAAATTAGGGTGCTCACCAGTTTTCTTTGCAAAAGTAGGAGTTGCACAAGGAATCAAAAGACAAATAAAAGTATCAGACACATAAGGAAGATAAACAGAGCAAGTGGTGTGAAGTGTTGGGTTAAAAGCTACAAATCACCAGGTGTGGGAGGAGTATTTGAAGCAGATGCAGATACAGTTATACTGCTGAATATACATATACATATATATATATATGTATATGTATATATTCATTCATACATTGAATGATGGTTGGAGGAAATAATATGAGGATAGTGGAGTTGTTGTAGAGGGCAGGGACAGGGAGAATGACTAGCAGACTTTTAAGAAGATCCAAGTTAAAAACAGGGTATAAGAAGAAATACACCTCAGTGTATCCATTTTTTTATGGCACTCATATTCTGGGGTAATAGTTAAGTTGCTTTATTTGGTAGCTGATTAGAACAATTTAAAGGTGAAACAATTTCCTTTCGGTTTATTTTTCCCCCTTTTGTTAAATACTTGTCTGTTTTGTTCTACTTCTGATACCTGATTACTGTCTGATTGTGAGACTGCCGTCTAGTAGTGGGATGTGCATCATGTGGCTAAGGCTTAGGTGAATGTTGACCTTCTTATCCTTCTGGCTCAAAGCAATCCATCTAATTCTGGTCCCAGCTTAAGAGTGCAGATATCAATGAGTGTACACCCAAGCATTTATGCCTGTCTGGAGCAACCCAGAGCTTTGCTTGGTCCAGATACATCTTGGGTATGTTCACAGAATCACTGAAGTTAGGGTCAGACACACCGTCCTTGACCTGGGAATGTCTGAGTTAATGATCCCTCAGGACTAATGTATATACACACTTCTTAGGGTACCACTGGTCGGCCTCTGGTGGTTAGTGGTAAAAATGCAATTCTTCTGCTGTGTTTTGTTCCTCTGTCTTCTTCTAAATGGGGATTCATGGGATATACTCGTTGCCTGGTGGGAAAGAGATCAAGTTATTTTATTTTGTTGTCTGCAGCATCAATGGTACCCCACCGGAAGAGTGACTTGTCCAAGATTGTGATCAGTGCCCTCTTCACAGGGGCCTGTGTATCCTTTATCAGTGCCTGTGTGGCAGGTGTGTACCTCAGCTTAGTCTCTTGGCAGAAATCACTTACCTAGATCCTGACAAGATCTCTGTCAGAATATTGATTTAACTATCCATCTCACAGATGCATAGACAAGGCACCTAATCTACAATGTTCTCAATTCACACCAAATCATTAAACGCCTTCAGGAACACGTGTGAAATATTCCCCTTAGTATCTGTGTCTCCTTTATCCAGGAATCCTCTACGTCCCCAGGGGAGCTGAAGCTGACTGTGTCTCCTTCCTAAACACAAGTTTCACCAATAGAACCTATGAGGCCTATGTGTGCTGCAGAGGGCTCTTTGAAAGGTAAGTGAGCCCCAGGATCCCTGCTTCCTTCTCTTGTATGCTATCCTCCACTCAGGAATCATCTGGGAGTGGAGAGAAATAAGGTCTGGAGGGTGATCATGTGGATGCTGAATAGAGTGTTTAAGAAGGAAGATGGGTGTTTGTGGTGGACTAGATCTGTGTTCTTTTCTCGTATTAGATGCATCCTCAGTGTTATCTTTAGTATGGACAAGTGACAGGTTTGACCTGTATTGGTGGGAGACTGAGAAGTAGAGGGGCAGGGGGAGAAGTATGGAAGTGTGGTTTCCCTGATAAGACGTTACTGCATTTATTATGACTGGAATATAGATAGGTTACAGATGAAGATTTGGCAATGGTCTTAAGTGGCTAAAAAAATTATGGGCTTCTTCGCACAGAAATGACCACTGAGAGAGGATAAAGTTGAACTGATAAAATCATGATGCATTCAGGCAGTGTAAAAATGAACTTGTTTACCCATTTCTGGGGCATTATAATAGTTTTCTGGCTCCTCATGTAAGGAGCTTGGAAGTCACCACCTCTGTTCTAAAAACAAGTAAAAAAACAAACAAAACTAAACGAGCTGAAAAATCAATAATTCTTCTTGGATTTATAAGGGAGGTGAGGACACAGGGTAAACCACTGCCCCACAATTGGAGAGACAGGTGAATATAGGAAGTCACGGTTACTGGAGCAGAGACGCCTGAGTGGAAACTGCTGCGGAAACCTAGACAGGGGTAGCCCTTCATTTGCTGGAGGATTAGTGAGGACAAGTCTGAATGTTAAAAACTTTGGAGTAATTCCCTCTGAGAGAACCAGAAGCTAACTGAGTGACTCCTACACATTAGGAAACTGAGAAAATACCCACACTGAATTGGGTAGAAAAGGGTAAGACTCAGTCTCACCATAAACTCCACACCTGGCACAGCACCATACAATCGAAGGGAATTCCCAACTCTCAGCTTCTCCCAGAGGAGTGAAGGGTTTGGACTGCACATCTAGTGGCCCGACTTTTCAGCATCCCCCCTTCGAGGGACAGGCTCCCCAAACACCTATGACAGCATAGGGGGCCTGGGTTCCCAAGTCCCACAGAACTATAGCAAGCAAAGAAGCAGCTCTTAAGGCAGTGAGCACTCACTACAGCTCTCCCTCAGGGCTCAGGGCAGAGTAAACAGCACTGAGTAAAAATCCCCATCTCCCAGTCTTTCCCTAGAAGGGGTTTGATTACATATTGTCCAAATTGCTTCCTGGGGGTCCAGCTTCTAATTGGCACACATCTAAGTGCTGACTGCAATCCTCCCCAGATTCCAAACAAGCGATGGGGAATCTACCACCTTCTCCCTCAGGCTTGCTCCAATGATAAAACCAGGTCATCAGCATCTCTCTGGCAAGAGCTCGTACACATGTCTGGTACCACAGCTTTTGTGGCTGCTGCCCAAGGGACAAGCCCCCAGGTCACCTTCATGAGTCCCACAGGATTATAGCAGATTAAAAAAGGTGTTGTTAATGAGTTGTATATATGAGTCCTCCCTGTGGAGACCCAGGGCTCAGTGCAGAAAGAGTAGACAAAAACACAGTCTTTCTCTGAAAGGGGATTGACTGCATACTTTACAAGCCATTGCCTGAGGGTCCAGCTTCTAATTAGCATGCATTTAAGGGATGACTATGATCCTCCCTGGAGTCCACTTTTTCCCTCTAGCTCACTCCAACAATAAAACCAAGTTGCCAGTAGCTTGCTGAAAGGAGCTTGTACACACACCTAATGCTCCAACTTTTATGGCTGCCACTCAAAAGACAGGTCCCCAAATCACCTAGCTCTGAAAGTAAACTGGGCTTGCAATTATGAGACCTACAGGACTATAGCAAACCAAGATGCAGTTTTTAAACGGGTACAGGAATACCCCACAAACACCCAGGCTCAGCACAGAGTGAACAGGCAAAAATACCCATCTCCCAGTTTTTCCCTGAAAGGGGTTTGACTGCATACTTTCCCAGATGGTATCTGAGGGTCCAGCTTCTAATTAGCCTGTATTCAGGTGCTGACTGCAATCTTCCCCTTTGGGAAACTAATGAAACCTACACTGAGACACACAATGACTAAATTGTCAAAAGTTAAAGACAAAGAGAATCTTAAAAACAGCAAGACTAAAGTAACTTTTTATGTACAAGGGAATGCCCATAAGACTATTAGCAGATTTTTTCAGTAGACACCTTGCAGATAAGAAGAGAGTGGTATGATATATTCAAAAGAAACAACTGCCAGCCAAGAATGCTTTACCTGGTAGAGTTGTCCTTCAGAATTGGAAAAGATAGTTTGCCAGACAAGCAAAAGCTGAAGGAGTTCATCACCACTAGACCAGTCTTGCAAGGAATGTTAAAGGAAGCTCTTCAAGCTGAAAGAAAAAGACACTAATTAGTAACATGAAAACATATGAAAGTATAAAACTCACTGGTAAAGATAAATATATAGTTAAAATCAGACTACTCTAATATTGTAAAGGTGGCAGGTAAATCTCTTATAACTCAAGTATAAAGATTAAAAGACAAAAATGTTAAAAAAATAATTACAACTATAATTTGTTAATAGATTCACATTATAAAAAGATGTAAATTATGACAGAAAAAACATTAAAATGTGGGAGGAGTATATAAATGTAGAGCTTTTATATGCATTCAAAGTTAAGCTATTGGCTTAAAATAGACTGTTATAACTGTAAGATAGTTTATGTAAGCCTCATGATAACAACAAAACAAATATCTATAATAGATACACAAAAGACAGAGAGAGGAACCAAATCATACCACTACAAAAAATCATCAGCTCACAACAAAAGAAAGAAAGAGGAAGGGAAACAAAGTAACTATAATAAAACAGCTAGAAAACAATGATCTAAATTGCAATAGTAAGTCCATACCTATTAATAGTTACTTTAAATATAAATAGACTAAATTCTCCAGTCAAAAGATATAGAGTGGCTGAATGGATAAAAATAAAGCCCAGCTATATGCTGCCTACAAGAAACTTACTTCAACTGCAAGGAAACACTGAAAGTGTAGACTGACAGTGAAGGGATGGGAAAAGATATGCCTTGGAAATAGAAACCAAAAGAAAGCTTGAGTAGCTAGACTTACATCAGACAAAGTAGACTGTAAGCCAAAAAGAGTAACAAAAGACAAACAGCGTCATTATAAATGATAAAGAGGATATAACAACTGTAAATATTTATACACCCAACATACAGCACCTAAATATATAAAGCAAATCTTAACAGATCTGAATGGAGAAATAGTCAACAATACAATAATAGTAGGGGACTTTAATACTCCCCTTTAATATAATGGATAGATCATCTAGACAGAAAATCAACAAGGAAACATTGGATTTAAACTACATGTTATACCAGATGGACCTACCATACATTTACAGAACAGTCCATCCAACACTAGTATCTCCCTGAAAGGAGCTTGTACACATACTGGATGCCCCGAAAATACAGTCTTCTCAAGTACACATGAAAATTATCTGATAGATCATGTTAGGCAACAAAACAAGTCTTAATACATTTAAGAAGGTTGAAATCATATCAAGCATCTTTTCCAACCACAGTGGTATGAAACTAGAAATCAATAAGAAGAAAAAACTGTCCACAAATTCACGAATATGTGGAGATTAAACAACATGCTCCTAAACAATGGGTCAAAAAAAAAATCAAAAGAGAAATTTAAAATATCTTGACTCATCACAAGGAATAAAGTTGTCACTATGTGAGGTGATGTATGTTAATTAAATTTATTGTGGTAATCACTTCAATACATATATCAAATCATTATGTTGCACACTGTATATTTAAACAATGTTATATGTCAATTATATTTCAATATAACTAGAACCCCCCTCCCCCCCAAAATATTGAGATTAATGAAAATGGAAACACAACATACCAAAACTTATGAATTCAGTGAAAGCAGTTCTGTTAAAGAAGTTCATAGCAGTAGGGCCGGCCGAGTGGCGCGATGGTTAAGAATTGGCTTGGGACGCCAGAGGGCCCCGGTTCAGATCCCACATATGAGGGCCAGTGACACTGCCCTCCACAGCTAAGATGCTGAACAACAGCTCAACCTGGAGCTGAGCTGCTGTGAGTCGCCGGCGACGGCGTAGGCTGCAGTCCCTGTGGCAGTGGGTTGCCATGGGCTACCGTATGTAGCCAGCAGCCAGCGTGAGCAGCCAGCAGCCGCAGTGAGCGGCCATCCAGAAAGCCAGCGACTGATCTGCCTCGCCCGGGAAGAGCGCAATGATGGTGCCAACTTGGGCCAGTGAAGCAACATCCTCCACAACTAGACTGAAGAACAAAAAGCAACAACAACTTGTCTGTTCCCCTTCCCCCAATTCCCCAGCACTGTTCCCATCCCCGCAAGTCCCCAATAAAAACCTTAAAAAAAAAAAAAAAAGAAGTTCATAGCAATCAACACCTACATTAAGAAAAAATAAATGTCTCAAATAAACAATTTAAAACCTCAAGGAACTAGAAAAAAAACTAAGCCCAAAGTTAGCAGGAGGAAGGAAATAACAAAGATCAGAGCAGAAATAATGAAATAAAGACAAAAAAGACAATAGAAAAGATCAATGAAACTAAGAACTGTTTTTTAAAAAAGATAAAAGCAAACCTTTAGCTAACATAAGAAAAAGAGAGAAGAATCAAATAAATAAAACCAGAAATGAAAGTTAAGATATTACAACTGAACACAGAAATGCTAAAGGCCATAGGGAACTACAGTTGACCCTTGAACAACACAGGTTTGAACTGTGAGGATTGAGTTATATACAGATTTTTTTTTCCAGTTGATTGCAGTTCAATGACTCAAGCAGTTGAAATTGGAGTTGTTCAAGGGTCAATTCCATGGTTGAGAATCCATGTATGCATAGGGCTGACTATAGTTTTATCTGGACTTTTGACTGCTCAGCAGGTTGGCACCCATAATCCTTGCATTGCTCAAGGGTCAAC